CTTTCATGGTTCTGCAAGGTGAACTCTAGAGGAAGTGAGGTGAATATATAAACCATGGACAATTTGGCATGCATCTATAAAAAGACCCCTACCTTGGCATGAATGCTATTCATTTTGGCAGTAGGCTTTTATACCTTTTAAAAACAGATTACCTTGTATGTCTTTTCTTTGTGTCTTTTCATTTTAATCTCAAATTTTAAAGAGAAGTAAAACCACATTCTGAATAGAGCTGTAGGGGATACCGATTCTGATTTTGAATAGTCTGGGAATTGAAAATTTGAATAGAAAATCACAATTAATGAAGTGCTAGGTGAATTTGATTTCATTTCGCTTTTTAAGTTTGTACTGTCAGCAGGACATGACTTGATTGTAGTGCTAAAGTGGCCATTTAAAACAAATTGCCTTGAAGAGTGAAGCATTGGGAATGGAGATCCCTTCAAGGTACTTAGTTTTAAATGAGTGCTCCAACAGCAATGCCCTTGACCTTGCACTATTTAAAAGCCTTCTATGTTTGCGCTGTGCTGGATTAATACAAGAATAAAATGAAAACGTAAAACGCAGTATCATTTTTTTTTTTTTAGAGATACTGTGCTGCAACTGTTAATACTCTGCTTATAAATACTGACCCCAGGCAGTGGCTAGGATGGCACCTGCAAACTAACGCCCCAAAGCAAAAGCTCTCCATGTGCAAGTAGACATGAAAGGTAATTTCTGCCTTTGTTTCAGCTGAGAAGCTCTTTCAAACAAGCCTTTGGAAAGAAAAAGTCCACCAAGCCTCCTTCCTCACATTCAGACATTGAAGAGCTAACAGATTCATCCCTTCCAGCCTCCCCCAAGTTGCCTCATAATGCTGGGGACTATGGCTCAACATCCATGAAGCCCTCACAGTCTGCCTCAGCGTAAGTCGTTTCTTTTGCAGAATGCTGAAATACTGTTAAAAACCAACTTCAGGCCCAAGCCTCAATGAATGATCTAAATGTAGTCAGGTGGTATTTTCATAATTGCCTATCTGTACCAAACATTTCGAGATCTTCCTGACAACAATGGATAGCATTTGTTTCTTCCACATTTTTTGAATATTAGAATTTGAGTTTACCTTGATTTCATGCTTCATTTTACAAATCTTATTCTCCCTTCTTTTAATTGTATGTGTATATGTATCTGTCTAACTGTACATGTAGGTCACCCCTTGTCTGGCCACCAAAGAAACGGCAAAATGGCCCTGTGATCTACAAGCATAGATCCCGGTAAAATGGAGTGTGATGCATGAAAACTGCCAAGATCCAAGTTCTAACCTAAGCAGTGTTCAGTTTTGCTTTTTTAATGTCACTTGCATGTATCCACAACAAATACCTCCTTTTTGTGTTTTTCAACTAAAATTTGATTCCCAAAATGGAAGATATTTAAGATATGGAAATGTGGGGCTGGCAGATGGCATGGTGTTTAAGGAGTTGGACTTCCACATAGCCAGCCGACTGTAGTTTGAGTTGCAGACCTGGTGCTAGCTTTCTCACTTTCCCTCTCTCTCTGTCTCTCTCTCTCTCTGTGAAATTAAAGAATAATAGTAATAATAAAATAAATAAATAATAAATAAAATAAATAATTTTAAATTTATATATATATATATATATGTGTGTGTGTGTGTGTGTGTGTGTGTGTGTTCTGATGTATTGATTCTCTTTCTTTTATATAGCATTTAAAAAGGATTTCCATTTATGCCAGTGATAATAAGTAGCATAGAACTGTCATGTAAAACGAGACCACTTTGCTTTGGCTACATCACTTGTGTAGGAACGAAGAACATACTACTGTCATTTCATCACCAAACCCCTAGTCTTAAATGGAAAAAATATTAGTTAATATAAAACAAATTCTTTTGACAGATTTTACAAAACAAAAGGACAAAACAATAAAGATATACAGTAGGGGACCAGCAGTTGGCGTAATGGCTATTTCGCTGGACTCCCACGTAGTCCACCGTCGTTCGATCCCTGACCCGGTGGCTTAAACATACGCCGAGTGTCTATGTGGGTGCATGCCTAAGATCCTGAGAGGAGAATGGAGGAGAAGGGATTGTGGCATGGCCATCCCCCCCAGGGGTGATTTCTCACTTTCTGTCTCTCTGTCTCTCTCTGTCTGGCGAGCGCACACACCCTATAGCAAAAACCTCTCCAAAAAAAAAGATATACTGTAGGGCCAGCCAGTTTCATAGTGGTTAGGGTGGCTTGATCTCACATGGCCATTCACAAGGTTTGCATCCAGGACCCAGCAATTTGAAAAACATGCCAGGTACATATGCATGAGTGCTCAAAATCTTGAAAAGGAGGAGACATAGCAGAAGAGGGATTGTGGCATGACTATCTCACACTGGGTGTGCTTCTTCACTTTCCCTTTCTCTCTCTAGTGAGCATATGTGCTCTTTGGCAAATTTTAAAATAAATACACACACACACACACATTTATACGATGTATGTGTATATGTATGTATGTATGTATGTATGTAATGTATATGACCTTCAAACAGTCACCAGCTAGCCTGCTAGTGAGAGTTGAAGCCTGTGATGTCATTTTATTAATTGTGAGCCCTAAATTGACTGAACCTAACAGGAAGATTATATAACACTCCTCTATTATTTATATTTCCAAAACTAATCTCTCTAATTTATTTCTACAATATTTATATTGGATTTTCATGGTAAGTTGGAGACAGTGTCATGGCAAATAATGTTATTTTTTGCACAATTTTACAGAAGAATAAATTAACATTTGAAAGACATTGTAACTGCTTTTAAAAAGAAATGTTTCCCATGTTGCCAATGGTGATTTAAATTCTTCAAAAATGATAAAAGGTAGTACTTCTGCGACTCTTCTGCCCTTTGGTAACAAGGAAATGGTGAGGATCTCTTAGTATTCAGTAATAGATTATTATTTTTTAAACTCCAGGAAGTCGGAAGGGAAGATTAAAAGAAAAACACAGCTATCTTCAGTTTTGAACCTGTAGATGCATCACTGTTTTTAAAACTCTCATTTTTTCTAAGTTTGGCCAGCAGCAAATAATTTCTATACTTGCAGGATAATGTTACAGCTCAGCCTTTAAAAGAGACATTGCTTTTCCTAATCATTTGGCGTCCCCAGACCACTTATGTTATGTTTGCTTCCTAATTCAGAATCTGTGAATGCACAGAGGCCGAGGCAGAAATAATTCTGCAGCTGAAGAGCGAGCTCCGAGAAAAGGAATTAAAATTAACGGATATACGGTTGGAAGCCCTCAGTTCTGCTCATCATCTTGATCAGATTCGGGAAGCCATGAACAGAATGCAGGTGGGTGCTGAAAGGCCTTCCAGAGAAGGAAAGAAAAAAACATTGCTTTTTCTCTACCTGGTTATTGTAGGACAAATTCCACTTTTAGACCCACTATGGAAAGTATACTGTTCATTTAGTCTTTGAGCCCAATTCTTAATATGGAAGGGAAAGTGTTGTCAAATGCAGGGTTAGAAGTAGGAATGAAAACTGACCAGTTGTTCTCAAGAACAATTCAATATACTTGCACAAATTACTAGATTCAGGTCAAGAGAGAGCTAAGTTTCAGAGAAACCACTATAATTCTTGCTGCTTCAATTTTTTTTTTTGTTTTTGGAGAGGTTTTTGCTATAGGGCCATGCACTCCCCAGACACAGAGGCAGAAAGCGAGAAATCACCCCTCAGGGGGGATGGCCACACCACAACCCCTTCTTCTCCATTCTCCTCTCGGGATCTTGGGCATGCATGCACACGCGCCCGGCGTGAGTTTCAAGCCACTGGGTCCGGGACGTGAACTGCGGTCGACTATATGGGAGTCCAGCGACATAGCCATTATGCTAACTGCTGGTCCCTTGCTGCTTCAATTTTTGTAATTTACCTTTATATTGGCTTTTTTCTTGTCTTTGGCAACCTAACTTACAAATATCTTCTCCATCTTGTATTGGAAAAAAAAATAATGAGGAAGCTACAGAAGTTCAACACAAGCTTTCTGAACATGGAAGTGGAAGTGATTTTGAATACCATCTGTAAATGTAAAGCTTTTTAGTTTTTTTTTGGAAGTATTTAAAGGCTAAATTCAGACCCAGTCTGTGCTCATACTGTTTTCATAAACACCTAGTTTATATAAACTGGTATCACTTGGTCCCACAGACAACTGCATTAAGAAAGATCATCACTGAGTAGATACATCAGCCACTGTACATATTCATCAAAGGTTTAGTTTTAGTTTTTGTTTCTTGTTTGTTTTTGGAGAGGTTTCTGCTATCGGGCACATACGTTTGCCAGAAAGATAGAGAGAGAGAGATAGACAGAAAGCGAGAAATCACCCCCCAGGGGGAATGGCCACGCCACAATCCCTTCTCCTCCATTCTCCTCTCCGGATCTTGGGCACGCATGCCCACGTGCTCGGCATGAGTTTAAGCCACCAGGTCCGGTACTCGAACTGCGGTCGACTACATGGGAGTCCAGCAACACAGCCATTATGCTAACTGCTGGTCCTGACTTTTTTTTTTTTTTTATGAAATTAGTGTCCTCTTTTGAAGGAACAAAAAGTTTTTCAGAAGTGGCTAGGGTTTGTAAACAATTTTTAATCATTTATTTGTATTATTTTTGTTTTGTTCTGCTTTTCAACTCTCCATGAATTCACAAAAAAGACTTTCATCATCTTTATGAACTGAGCCCCATTTGGAAGGAACAAAAACTTTTTCAGATGTTGGCTAGGATTCTCATTTAATTTTAAATAACCTGCTTCATATGTTTTGCTCAGTTTTCCAACTGTCCATGAAGCCCAATGTAAGTGCTTTATTTGCCTGTGAGATTTTAACATGACTTTTTAAATGAGAACTCTTGTGAAAGACTCAGTTAAAATTTTTCTTAATTCAAAATGAGCCAAGTCCTGGAAAATTAAAAAACATGATAGACTCAAAGAATGATTATAAAAAATTTCTAATGGCTAACAGGTCTATATTTGCAAATACAGAAATACATAAATGTGAGCAATAGAGAAAAGGTTAAGTTTTCTTTCATGGAAGAAAGTATATTCCCTCTATATATTATATAATAGAAATATAATTCATATTTGCTCATTGAACAAATTAAGTATTACCACATGCTTTATTTAGCAACAAGCAAATTAATTCAAATTTTTAAAAAATCTTGATGCCATTTTCTCAAACTAGCTCTTTTATTTATTTATTTTTCACAATATCCATCTTCATAAAAGAATGAAATTGAAATACTGAAAGCTGAAAATGATCGGTTGAAGGCAGAAACTGGTAACACAGCGAAGCCTGCTCGGCCACCGTCAGAATCTTCTAGTACCACGTCCTCTTCATCGTCACGGCAGTCATTAGGACTTTCTCTCAATAATTTGAACATCACAGAATCTGTTACCTCAGGTAATTTAGTGCATGCAACTGCCTGATTCAAAGCATGCCTATGACTTACAGGTATTGGGATCGCCTGGAATTTGGAGACTCATTTAAGATAGAATGTTAACACCCTGCACAGGCGTAGAGCCTAATGGTTAAGGGAACCAGAACCATGACCAACCACAGTTTCAAATCACCCCCGAATGGCTTGAAAAACATCCTGAGTGTGTGTTTGCAGTACTCCAAATCTTAGCAATACAGAAAACAAAAACAAAAACAAAAACAAAGAAGGGCATGACCAGACACCATTTGGAGGAATTGCTTTCTTCTTCTTACTCCTCACTTCCTTCCATCTTTCCATCTTTTTTGGCAAGTGAACCTACCCTCTGGCAATTAAAAAAAATGTTGATACTCTAATTTTCAGATATAGTTTTATTTTATAAATTTATTCTACTTAGTTATAAATTTAAAATAATATTCTCTGTGAAAGCATGAAACTTAGATAAATAGTTTTCATATTGCTTTTTATATAATCATGCATGCTTAGGAAGTACTGCCTACATTATGTGGTTGTGAATGAGATGAAGAAATAAATATTCTCCGTGTTGATCATTGGTACTCATGAATATAATAATAACCTATGCAACTGTATATTGTTTTGAGTGTACATAGCCCATTTTAACAGATTCTATTTCTAAATTTGACTAGATAAATCTGCATGATGTTGCCTAGAGAGAATAGAATGCTACTACATCACCCAGTCTGCTGCATTATTAAATTTCCAGCAAATAAAAGGAACACACTGGATTTTGTTATTATGTTCAACAGTACCAATGATGAAACTGAGTTCCATTTAGATTGAATTGTAAATAGAATTATATTAGATCATGTCATCTTAATATCTGATGGACTATTGAATTATAAATTATAGCTTCTCCTATACCTTGAATCATTTTATGGATATAAAATTTAGTTTAGGAATTGTTTACTTGAGAATCTGTGGTAATTGCACAACACAGCCACCAGATGACGCTTGAAAACCAATAACATGCATGTTCCTGGGTTAATTTCAGATTCTGTTCTAGATCTGAGATACTTCACTTCTTGACTTAGGTCACTTTAAAATACAGAAGAAGAAGAAGAAGAAGAAAGATGACACAGCATGCTGATGTTGATTACATTCCCAATAAGTCACACATCTTACTTCTAAACAGAGCTTATTAAAATTCCATTACAATAGTATGAATATTAATTCTTCATAGTATAAAATGAATGCCACAAATACATATTCGTCTTTACCTGTATCTGAAAAGCAAGTGGTAACTCTAATTTAGGAAAACAATGTTTATAAGCACTGGGCAAGGACTGGCAGAAGGAAATATATTCTGAGAGTAAGCATCAGGTAAAACTAGTATTAGTAGCCAAAAACACAGAGTTTTCAGAATTAAGTAAATTTATAGCTCAGTAAGTAAAATATGACCATGGAAACAAATGCTAATATAATAACGTGGATGTATAAGTTGTACATAAAGTATTATTGTCCATATTCTTCAAAAGATTCTAAAACAAAGAAGAAAAATTTTCAATGTGTAAAACTTGAGAATCCTGAATAATATCAGGCTTGTTATTTAACTTGACAAAGATAAAGGATGTGAGATCCAAACCTACTGGCAGCTGGTGGCTGGTGTCTATGTCCCCCACCTGAC